TGTTATACAGTTCAATACACTTTAAATGTCACAATGGTCAAATACATCCAAAATCGTGTTTTGAGGGTCCAATTTATCGTTTTTTGAACTATCATACAGCGAAAAAGATAACTCTCAAATAATTATATGATGAAATTTATCATTAACCAAAAAAAAAAAAAAAAAAAGTAAAACTTACAACCAAATTCACAATCAGAAACTATTGTGATTTAGTGATGAGAGTCATGTACGTACCTACTCATGTTCTCACAAATCCGATCAAGAGATACGCATGCATGTGTGATTTTATTTGTTTGTTCATTAAATCCTTCAACAATACCTCTCAAGGGCATCCCAATTCGCTGCCATAAGCTTAGCGGCTCTCCTTCCCGTAATTTTGTCAGCATCACGTAAACAATCCATAATGCAAACTAAACCAATAACCTCACCCTTCTCTATAACAGGCAATCGTGTAACTTCTCCTGCATGCATAATTTAATTCATAAGATTAGAAAAGGTTCATCAAAAAGTAATTAAGCCCAATTAATATGAAATATTTGTTACAAACTAAACCTTGCACCATCTTCTGTAGTGCTTCGACATCAAGAGTATCAGACAAAACAAAAATCGGATTCCGTGTCATCACCTTCGAGACAGGTGTGTTCACCAAATCAATCCCATGATTAATAACTCTTGTTGCAATATCCTTCAAAACATCAAAAACACATAAACTTTATTCTAATCCGATCAATCAATGACAATGTAACATGGCTATATATATGACGATTGATCAAGACAATTAAACCTCCTGTGTCAATATGCCACAGAGTAACCCAATTGAGTCGATGAGTACAAGAAAATCAACGTCACTAGCAGCCATAAGACAACGGGCTTCATAAATAGTTGTGGTGTCGGGTAATGTCACCAATGGACGTAAGTACTGCTTTACTGTTTGATCTTCGTTTAAGCTCCTCTTATTTTAGAAACACAGTTAATTAATCAGGTTTCGGATTTAATTAAAATGACAAAATTAAATAAATATTTCAGTAAACACTCGTGATATTTTGACCCAAAATCTAACATATTAGTGGAGGAGGAGTCGTACGTTCTTAGTTCGTTTGGTAGTATTTGCAAATGGATTGCTAGATTGCTCCAGATGACGACGTCGTACAGCTGATTGTTGTGGTGGTGGAATGACAAATTCATCATAGGCTTCATAAGGATTGACGACGGAATATACAGAAGTGTTCGCGTGCACAAAATGTGAAAGAGAAGCACCATGGCGGCGATAGGTTTCATCCCACTGATTACCGGTGCCAATGAGTAGTGGATTACTTGATTGCTCCGGTTGAGGTCGTACAGCTGATTGTTGTGGTGGTGGGATGGCAAATTCATCATCGGCTTCATAAGGATCGATGACGCGATATACAGAATTTTTTGTGTGCACGAATTGTGAAAGACTAGCGCCACCACCACGGTGGCGATCGGTTTCATCCGACTCACCTGGAAGTGGTTTTCTCGAATGCATCAGGGGACGCATTGCTGTATGTTGCGGAGGTGGCATGAAAAATTCATGATAAGCTAATTTATCCGCCGGAAAATGCTGTTGAGAGCTCGATCCTGATAAATCTTGTTGAATCGGTTGCATCTTCAACGACCGCCGATGGTTGACCTTTTGGTTTTAAGCTCCAAAGAGCTCCACGTGATGCGGAAGGAGGTATTTCAGTGGGAAAAATATATTGGGGTTGAATTTTGAGTTTTTTCACAAGAAAGACCCTTGGTTTTATTGGTTTTTTCGCATAAGCTCCCCGAGAAATTCTCAAAGTTATCGTTTTTGTTAGATAAAAATATGGTTGTAAACAAATGAAACGTTCGTGAACCATTTGACGAAAAATTCGTTTGTACTAGTTTATTTGATAAATAAACGAACATGAATATATTTTTTTGTTCGTTTTTATAAATGAACAAACACAAACAATGATCTTATTAGTTCATTACATTCATGAGCGTTTGTTATTTCGTTTGTTTATGTATGTTTCCGTCTTTTTATGTTTATAAATATTATATTTTTTCTAACAAAATCTATCAAGGGGCTTGTTCATATATGTTCCTTCTTGATTTGGATGCTTATGTTCTTTCTTTTAGGCATGATTCTTCATTTGATTGTTTATGTTTATTTTGTTCGCTAAGAGGATGCGGTATGGGCCAAAAACGAGAAGCAACCGGGTGATGTGGCACCCTCAACGGCGTCGTGACAGGGGGGGGGGAACACCACCCCCTATGTGTTATGGTACATCTCGTTGGTGTCATGACATTTTGCAACGGGAGAATTGGCCAATAGCATCATTTTTCTTTGCCTCTCTCTCTTTCTCTCTCTACTCTGATAACATGCCATAACAAAGAACACCATTTCCTACATGGTGTTAAGGTGATGTTATAGTTGAGCTGGCATGTGAAGTGGTGTTATAACATTGACCCACACCCAATGCTCTAATGTTAATATATGTTCGCTTATGTTCATTCATTTATGATCGTTTAGCATCTTAACAAGTATAAGCAAACAAACACGAACAATATAATTTAAACTAAGTCTGAGACTATTGTCATTAAGACAAAAATTATAATTTTTTGTTGCAACAAAAAAGATGAAACAAGGTAGCATAGGGACTTGCTTTTGATTTCTTATGTGCTAAAGAAAAAAAATGCTATCACCATGCTTATTGTAAAAACTAGCCCTGAAAGCTTGTCTTATTCAATCCTATCTCGTGTTTACAAATGCAAACTTAGGCCATTAGGTTGCATTTGTTACACAAGATGGGATTGGGTGGACGGACAAATTTTTAGGACCACGTTTTATAATGAGTATGACGAGGACATTTTTGTCTTTTGCACATATAAGAAATCAAGAGCGAGTCTATCCTACCTTGCTCCATCTTTTTGGTTGCGACAACAAATTTTAACTTTTGTCCTATTGACATCACTCCTAGTCAAATGCATGCGTAGTAAGACATTGCAACTTTTGTGTTTGTTTTTTTTAACATTTATTTGGTCGGGTGATTATAGTGGTTGGAGATCATATAGTTGGAATATTTGCTTAAAAAAGAATTAGTGTTGGAGAAGAGTTTTTTTATGATTACCGATATGAACCGAAGAAGACACTTGCTTAGGCAAAAAAGATCGAGTCATCTAGTACAAAGAAAGAGGAAATAAATCTTTCTAAAAAAATGGAAAACCACACCATTTAAGCGACGTACACAAACCTGCCCCAAGGCCTCCCGTAGAAGTATATCACGAAACACTATTTCAGGAGTGTCTGAGTTTGAATATTGGACCCCATGTGGAATTCTACACCTCAACCACTAGAATCCTATCACAGGGAAACATGTATTTCTAGCGAGCATGTCTCTCACATGATTAACTGAAAACACATATAAGTATTTTTGGCAATTAATTTTTTGCATGGATGAGTTTTACTTACCATGATAGGAGAGATGATGTTGTAATCTACAAATGTACACATGCTTGTATCTTCTAAGGTGCATATTAGGTTTTGTGTGGTTTCAGTTAATTTGGTGAGACGTGTATTGATAAATATAAAATACAAAATACAACAAACTTCCTCCAATGCATGATATACATAATTGATTCCATTTAAACTAGGATTCCTTAGAATCATATAGGATCACACTAATAACAAGTAAATGCAAATTGAATATCTATAAAGATTTGATCTTAGTAAATGTTATAACTCTTGTAATTAATTGAAAATTATTTATTTTATGAAAATATTAATTTTGAATGTTAAGTATCAAAATATATCATAATGTATGATTTATATAACATCCCAAAAATACCAATAATTTATTATTCTTTTTAAGCCATCAAATTCATACAAACATTTGTTCCAAAGCCAAACATAGTAAAATGTATCTCAAAACATTAGAGTGAAACAATAATAATCAATGCGGAAAAGCCATCAAAGGATTTTGTGCAGTTAAGCCGAACCCTTCCCTTTAGAACTTAAAGTACCTGAAAATAAGACTAAGTATTAGTCTTATATTCCTAGCGACTAATGATAGTCTATATTCCTCAATAATCCCAATGACTACATCAAGATCTATCAAGTAAGGAATAACCAAGTAGGATGATATCGGAGGTAGACTCCGTTTGGTATATAAAGTATACTGTTTGGAAATCCCATTTTAGACACCTCACTAAATCCAGCCTAGACATCATTCTCGTAAGTAGATCAATTAGTATAATAACTTGGAATCACTTATAAATCTTATTTATAAATTGGGAAATCTACAGAAAAGTCCCAAACTTTTGGAAAAAGTTTCAAAAAAGTCCTAAATTTTTTTTGAACATAAAAGTCCTATTATTTTGAGAAATTCACATAATCTGTCATTTGTTGTTCAAATATAAAAAAATGACTTTTTCATTAATTTGGGCAAAATGTTAAATAATTGGAACTTTTCTGTTCAAATTTTTTTTAGGACTTTTTTGAAACTTTTCCCAAAAGTTTGAGACTTTTCTGTAGATTTCCCTTATAAATTCATAACAACGGTTATGAATATAAATATAAGTTACACTGAAAGTGATATAAGTGTAGCTTAACTTATAGAGATTTTAGCGAAAACTGGGAAATTATACTGGCAGAACTCCGAATCGAGAGCTCTTACTTGCCGGCCCACAGAACTTTGCCAAAATACCCTAAATTCTAAAGATCTTTTGGGACAACATGGGAAATTTCCAGACAAATGGTTTCTAGAGAATGTGGGAAACAAATGAGCAGCGGAAGGCAATTTATAGGCTGAAATTCGAATGTGCACATCACGCCCCGACCAGGTACACACCGTGCCCTGGCCTGGCCAGTTCTTCCGCTTGCTGACACATGTCCTATAATGGCTGGTGCGATGTGACAACTTCTAGAAGCCTGCACATCACGCCTTTTTGCACGTGACGCGTTCCGAGAAACTTCAAAAATTCGTATCTTCTTTATACGAACTCTGTTTTTGACATTCATTATATCCACGCGTATATATTGACGAGATCTACAACTTTCATTTAGACTACGTCAGCTGATTCTCATTTTATTTTTAAAGTTATATTTTTAACAGGATTAGATTATTAAAGTCCGTATAAAAATCATAACTCTCTTATACGAAATCTGTTCTCAACTGTCTTTATATCGACTGACTCCTATTAACGAGATCTTCGACTCTCATTTGGATTGTTTCGGCTAACAATCAACTGATCTAAATTTCGATTTCTATGCTAACACATCTGTGCTGAAAATTCGAAAAATCATAACTTCCTCATACGAAGTTAGACTTGGGCTTTCTCTACATGCATGCTCTTGGTTTTACGATTACTACGACTTTCATTTAGATTACTTAGGCTAATAAATGTGTTCGATAAGGTGTCTAAGTTCATAACTATATTTGGTATGTACTTGACCCGGCTTGGCATGGTTCATTTGGGTTGCATGGCATCGCAACAATTGGATAGACAAAATGAGAAAATGACACTGATGATTTGTTAATATATTATAAGTTCTAATATATTAATATGAAATCATATTATTTAATTAGTATTGATCAAGAATTAATTTGGAATTAGTTTTGTGATCAAAAGAGACTAATTAAATATATGTGGATTGATTGTGTAAATCATTCATTCTTATATAGTGAGCTTATGATCCATGATTCACAAGATTGGGCTAAGTACCATTGGGTGCTCCATGGATGCTCCATGGAGGTTAAAACCCATGGATCATGGAGGAAATGAAAATCCATGCACATTAGGG